GAAGACTTTGGAGTGGCCTAGTCAAAGTCCCGACCTGAATCCGATTGAGATGCTGTGGCATGAACTTAAAAAGGCGGTTTATGCTCGAAAATCCTCCAATGTGGCTGAATTACAACAATTCTGCAAAGATGAGTGGGCCAAAATTCCTCTACAGCGCTGTAAAAGACTCATTGCCAGTTATCGCAAACGCTTGATTGCAGTTGCTGCTGCTAAGGGTGGCCCAACCAGTTATTAGGTTTAGGGGGCAATCACTTTTTCACACAGGGCCATGTAGGTTTGGATTTGTTTTCCCCCTTAATAATAAAAACCTTCATTTAAAAACTGCATTTTGTGTTATCTTTGTCTAATATTTAAATTTGTTTGATGATCTGAAACATTTAAGTGTGACAAACATGCAAAAAAATAAGAAATCAGGAAGGGGGCAAACACTTTTTCACACAACTGTGTGTGTATGTGTGTGTGTGTGTGTGTGTGTGTGTGTGTGTGTGTATATATATATGTATGTATATATATACACGTTAGCTGTGGTTGTAAGTACAGTAGAAAGGCTGACAGCTTTATTTTCACTCCAATCCGCATCCCCTGCTGTTTCCCGCTCTACAGAAGTGACTTCTTCTCCTGAGTTTTTGAAATTGCTGCCAGCCAACTAAATGTCATCCTCCTTGTGTCTCAACACTCGGTGCAGCATTTGAGTAAGAGATTTACGGCGGAATGGGAATACCGCCGAAGGTCTTTGTTCACAGTGATGGTCCAGATACCACTCGCTGAGCGCAATCGGCATCGCTTGCAAGGAGGTCATCCTTGACCCACTTTGTGCCTCGTGTGTTTGAAGGACGATGTCATGCTGTCGCATCTTTGACAGAAGATACATAGTTGTGCATTTCACAGAGATGTTCCTCCTCCAATCTTTTTTTTTTGTTTGTTCTATATGCTGATAGTGACTCTTCTTACCCACAGACCAACCAGCAGCACAGGTGGACGCGGCTCTCGTGGCATGACTACCACAAACAAGGGAAACAAGGCCTTGAAGGTAATTGACCCGCGACGAGAGTAAATTGTGAAGGAACCAATGTTAAATGCTGATATAAAGACCATCACCTACTGATCTCCATCCACAGGTGAAGCGGGAGCCGGGAGAAAATGGCACCAGCCTGACAGACGACGAGCTGGTGACCATGTCTGTGCGGGAGCTGAACCAGCATCTACGGGGTCTGACGAAGGAGGAGATCATTCAGCTGAAGCAGCGGCGACGCACCCTGAAGAACCGCGGCTACGCCGCCAGCTGCCGGGTGAAGCGCGTCACCCAGAAGGAGGAGCTGGAGAAGCAGAAGTCTCAGCTACAGCAGGAAGTGGACAAGCTGGCCACGGAGAACGCCAGCATGAAGGTGGAGCTGGACGCTCTGCGCTCAAAGTACGAGGCCCTCCAGAGCTTCGCTAGGACTGTGGCCCGCAACCCCGTCACCTCAGCCAGGGGCCCCATGGCCTCGGTCATAGGGCCCCTCATCCCCGGTAAAGTAGCTGCCACCAGCGTCATCACCATCATCAAATCCAAAACGGGGGCTAGGTCGTAGTAGCAGAAAAGGGCGGGAGGAAGATTTTCCAAGACTAAGCTAGTCAGTGCATTGTAACATGCCGAAGGATCGCCTGTGTAAGTTTTCCCAAATTCACTCCCAAAGGATGACTCAGCAGTCTGTACCAGTCTACAGACACGTCGTGCTTTAGGGTGACACAGTCGAACTGTGAGGTTTAGGACGTCGCAGTTGGTTGTTGAAGAACGCCGACATATTGGCAATACTGACACGTTCCATTTAGAAAGCATATCGTTGTTACAAATACTTAATAAGGCAATATTGGGTGCAAAAACTACAAAGCAGAATTCCGACTGTTAACATCTTGTTGATTTTTGGATAATGCGACGTGTCCGTGTCCTTAAAACTGAGCTCTTGAGATTTTTTTCCTTGTAGAGTCTCACAAACATGTCAAATCATCCAGTTTAGACGTTAAAGCCCTGAACCCCTTTGCCTGTTATTATGCACTGACTTGAATTTGGATAAATAACAAACGGTGTGAATGCTACAGATGTCTTCATAACAGCCTGACTAACCCAAAACTAGTAACTGAGTCAAAATTGTGATTTCTTTGTCGGTTAGTCTGTCGAGACTATAAGCGTGAAATAATGCTCCCGAATCCAGCATTCATTTCTGTTTTATCTGTGACCGGCTTTAACGCACTTGTCATTATCAATATGACTGGTAGATGCAATAATAATATATGTATGCACTGAAAATACAAAGAGGTCTTGCATATTTATGGTTAAGTGGAAATGTTAAAAATGAATCAGCAGTTCTTAACGACGATGTTCCAGAGCTGATTCCAATATGACAAGATTCTTCTTCAATATGTGAATGTTATAACAGTAATATCCTCTTGTTTTGTGGGGGCGCTGATATCCACCAACATTTTTGAAACTTTTTTTTTTTTTTTTGCTCATAGAGAAAATATGTTCCGGTTGCTTTGTTTAAAAGATATATATTGCATTTTTTTTAATTTTTTGTAATTACTTGTTGACAGGGCCGTCGGGATATTCCCAAAAAAAAAAAAAAATCTTTACACAAGCTTTACTGTTTTGAATTGTTAAGGTGTAGAAAACTTTGTCTAATGTTGAGTTATTGGTTTTTATTACTAGGTAGATTACCTTCCATCATTTATAGAAATACAGATAAAAAAAAAACATTCAAAAAAAAAAAAGTCCTGTGACATCTTTTTTGCAATTGTACCGAAAGTGGCTTACTATTGAAGTCTGATAGCTTTTTTCTAGTGACTAGGCGCGTACTGTGGGGTAGCGCGTGACGTGATGTGTAAGTGACAAGTCGGCAGTGTCGTCACTGTATAGATGTCAACGCTGTGCTATTTTAAAACAAATCTGTAGAGCTAAACTAGGTGGTGTAAACAAGGTCAATTGTCTTTGTGCGTATTGGCATCTGTGATATCCTCCGCTTCCTCGGTGTTCATGTTGTCGTCAAGAAGTTCACCACATTGAGCCATGTGAGACGGTGATCGGGTGAAATGGCATTAGTGACTTCTACCTGAAGCTGTGTAATTGGTTGCACCTGGTGCTTGGATGCCCTCGGAAACACATCCTCTGTAACCCCCGAAAAATAATGGGACTTCATTGTCGTATCCATTCCAGCCACTTAACTGGTTTAGATCTTAATTAAGGGAAGAGAAATTAATAACCTTTTCAAATTTCGCTTTTGACGGACTAAATGTGAAGTTTTTTTCCCCTCCTCCAAATATCTACAGCGATCAGATTGCGTCAATGAACTTAAAGGGTAACCGGCCAATCACGGCGCAGCATCACGAGTGTAGATGCACCCACTGGTCTTCAGATTAAAGGCGGTAGAGTTCGGCTGAGGGTCCGTATGCACTAAGCTCCTGCTTGTTTTGCTCAGGATTAAACAGGTCACTCTCTAAAAAAAAATGAACAATCCATTCTAGACGAGAGACAGAGAGAGAGAGAGAAGCAGGGATGGCAGCTCTGTTCATTTTTGCTTTTTTTATTTTATTTATTTTTTATATATATAAACATGTCATCAAGGGCTTCAATCCACACTCGGAAAAGAGACGCAAGCAAGACCATGTAGGATTACAATCAAGCAGCGCTCCAGTGGAGCGGTTCTCCACCTCAAGGTGAAAGTGGTCGTGTAATGACATTAAACAGAATGCGCTTCATCCAGATCTCACTCCCCTGGTGGTTCAGAATGTCTTCATAGTGTCGGCAAGGTGTTGATCTCAAAGCTATACGCCTCTCAGCGGGAAAAACAACTCCACGCCAGAGAGACCTGGGTGCCCGGTGTCTTATCGTCGACATTGCTTAGCTCTCACCATAGACTGGTGAACTGTGGGAATGATATATATATCTGACTCTTGACATAGCCCAGTATTGATGTTGGCGTCCTTATTGCTGTGGCAAAGTCTTGTGGAGTGAATCTTTTTTCGGTGTCAAGTGTCTTTTAAAAAGGTGTTTCGAAAGCGGGCACCGTCGACCAATCTCTCCGCTCGAGGGTGATCACTCTTCTCTTTCTCACACATACAGTTGTGTAGTATGTAGCTACAGTAGGTATTAATGACCATTGTGAAAAAGTGACCCTTAAATATGCAACTCAGTGGAAAAAGGTGTGAAAGAGTAGACGTAAGAGTAATCAATATTGTCAAAGTGACTATGGTCTGTTATTCAATAATTCTTGCTGTTTTGTAGGTTGTTCCTTTTTTTGTAAAATGTGTTTTTTTTGTTGTTGTTTTTTATCCCTAAATGGAAGAGCAATTGGCCCTTGTTTATAGCAGCGGACATGTAAAAGTGTGCAGTGTGGAATGGTGAGACAGTTGCACTCGAGCCTTACTCACTAATTGCCCTGTTCTTTAAATTAGCTGAACGACTGGATCCATAAATTGGACTTGGATATCTGACTGAAAGATATTGCTATTATGTAAATGTCTGTGCACTAGAGTGAAATAGATGCTACGATAGATTCCGTCACAAGGGCCGCTTGCAATAAATTTTCTTTTCTTTTTGGTATGCGTGTGTGCGCGTGTTTTGTACGTTTTCGAGGTTCCTCCGCTGCTACTCCAGTCATTAATGCTCCTCGTTTGCTGTAGAGTCATCCACATCGTTTTCTGTTCTCATTATGTGTCGAGTGTGTATTTGAAAATTGATCTTAACACTGGAATTTGTTCCGCAGATTTCATTTTTAATTGGTTATGGCTTTTATTTATTTTCTGTTTTTGTTTTTAGAGAGGAGATAAATCACAGCACTTGTGTGTCAGTTGAATTTAATTCAAGACATTGGCTTATTTTTTTCATGATAATTTGCTTTGAAAAACAGTCGACTGTGCAGGTTTCTCCATGGAGTGGGTCTGTCTTTTAAAAGGTATACAAATCTGACTAAAGCGAGTAATACACAGTGAATTATCCGTTTTTTGTTATTTTTCTGTATGGGTTGTAATAAAAATATTGCAGTACTTTGTATGAAAACAAACGATAGTTAATTGTAACTATTTATAAAATTAAATTATTGTACTTTTTTGCAATCTGTAGATAAGTACTATGTATTCATATATACAGTAACAACTGTGGATTTAAATGTGATTCTCTGAGGTGTCTAAGTTATTGATGTATATATTGTATGTTTGTTGATACAGCTTCCTTTATTTTCTAAATAAGACCAATAAAATGTTTTGAAAAAGGAAAACTTCTCTCTTTGGAGGCTCTTAAACACTGTTCAAATGGATCTTTTTTGTCCCATTCTGTGGCGTCATTGACCCAGTTTGATACTTTGTAAAAATAAACCGGCGGGGAAGGCTCTTCGCCGTCCAGGGTGGGTTTTTTTTTTTATTTTTTTTATTTTTATTTTTAGAAGACAGCGATCATTTAGATGGCACGATTTCTTTTTCTGTGATCCAAAAAAAGCTGTTGGGCGACCCACTTTGGCTAACCTCGGCGGACGTATTTTTGGCCCGACAGGAGTAAAACATTAGAGTCATGAAGGATGTCTAGGTGTGCTTGTCCTAGATTGGGAGGAGTAGTGAGTTAGTCATCTGTGCTCCCTGCAGGCCTCCTAACCCCCCCTCTCTGTCTCAGCGCACCTCATCAAACTTCACCCCTCCTCGGCAGCCTTTCAACCCCAGCACATTCAAACCGCATCTCGTGAGAGAACACGCGGGAAAGAAAGAGACAGATGGCTGAAGACGAGCTACAGGGCAAGTCTAAACCCCCAGTGCCCGCGTGCACCATGGCACCGTAGACTCCTACAGGTCTGTGTGACCTGTGCCTTAAAAACGGGCTCCTCTCCCCTCCTCTGGATGCCTGCCCCAGACAACCGGAATGGCCTCTGAAGAGCTTTAATTTAGGCGGGTGGGGGCTATAAGGTGAGCTGGTGGGCAATCTAGGACAGCATTCTTCATCTTCACCCACTTCTGCAGCAGGTGCCTGCCCCAGTTCTCAGACCCCGCTGCACAACTAATGTTGCCGACCGTTCATTTAGCACGTCTGCCCGCGCCGGAGCTCGGCGGTGGGGGCTCCGCTCTGCGAATGTCACCCCACTGCAGAGGGCATGCCTGTTTGTGGGAGATGCTACATAAGAGGTGTGTTTATCGGCAGTTGTTTGAGTCGCATGAGAGCTTGCTGTGATTGTGCATATGAGAGACTTGTCCTCATGTCGAACCACGTGATTTTTCAGACCGCCAGTGACGTCCCAGCAATAAGAAAGAGCACACGAGCCAGATAAAAGCTAAGGGTGTTAAATATTACTGCTAGTGAGGAGTTCACCTTGTCCTCGCTTTCATGCAATATGTTGCTCTGGGGTTCCCTCTGCTGGCACGTCTGTGTAAAGACTTTGTGTTTGTTTTTTGGCTGTTTTCTTTCCACAAGATGACGCCACACGCTCTTAACAGAAGGATTTCCCCCTACAGTGCACATCTTTACTGTACTGAACAGAAAAGTTATTCATTTCGCCCCACTTGTTGAAGTTTGAAACTATGAAATGTTCCCCAAAGTGCCCCATTATATTCTCGTTACAGCTCCAGGCAATGGCAACACCTGTACTTTTGAAGGCCTGACTGGTGGTGATGTATTGAAGTTTGACTCACACCTTTCACTTATCGTACAACACACCGCGAGATTATCTTTGAGTCCTTGCTAAAATAAAGATGAACTTCAGGGCTGTTGGGTTGCATAATTAAAAATCAGTGAGGAGATATTTCTTCTTGGTTGTGATCTCGATAGCCACCAAACATGTTTTAATAGATATTGTCTGATGTATTTTTATGTATGCTAAATGAATGCATTCGCATCATATGATGTAACTTTGCCCAGTGCTTTTCTACGTGTTGCATTTTTCTTTTTATATATTCTTTGTTTATTTTCATTCTATTATTATTATGTATACACTTTAATCAGAAGCATAAAGGAAGAACATCTTCAATACCAGGTTAATTATTCCGGTTGTTTCGCTATAGCATGTTCAAATACTTTAAAGATAAGGGGGCTATCTCATCTTTGTTATTGGCTTGCAGCAGATTGAAGGGAACGTACAGACCACACGTTGGCACGTCATCAAACACGGCTTCGGCAGATATAACCTGCTACTTCTGTGGGAATACAGATAATTGTCACATGACGGTGGAAAACGCCGCGATTATGTAACGTGTCGACTGCGTGCACCGGCACCTCATCGTACGATTCGCCGTCGGTCAAGTTTGCCACGATGAACGCGCGGCTTCACGTTCGGTCCTTTCAAAGTAAAACCAGTGACTACAACGGTGCAAGGCGGTGCGTTTTATGCTGAGCTCCTCATTTCCTCCGTGGCTCAGCTGCTTCCTTTGGCCGACTTGACGTATGCGCGTGGTGCGTCGTTGCGTCGCGCCGTAGAGGAAGCGTTGGCGCATCGCAACAAACTGCTGCCGCTGGACCTGCGGCTGCTGCTTTCTGCGGACACAGTTAAACCGGCTGCCCTGCACCGTAACGGTGCACACAACGGACACCGTTCACAACCGGAGAGAGTCGCTCTGTGGCTACAGTTGAACCTCAACTGATCCCTCATCAGCTTCGACATGATCAAGAACGGACATCACCACCACCAAGTGAGCACGGTAGCCGGTAAAGACGCAGGCGCGACCCCCGGCGCTGCATCTTGCAGTCCCGAGAAGAGGAGGAGAAGAATCCGGGTGTGGTGCGATGGTTGGTGAGTAACTTTACCGGAATTATTGGCGGTGCGATGGAGATGCTGCAACACTGTTCGTATCGGTCGTTGTCCCGTTTGAATGGATGTGTCAGCATGCGTGTCACCCGCAACCGGAACAGGCCTGCTGCAGGTTACACTGCTCTCACTGGACGGCTGCTTCATTCTCCAGAGACATCAGTGTACACTCAACTTTTAATTCAGTATTATCTTGTATCTCTAGTCAACCAGGCGAGTGTCAATGGCCCACTGTAATTCGGGACTTATTACATTCCATTGCTTCTACTCTACATTACTGGAGCATCCTCTCCATTCTCCTCCTCAGTAGACACATCTTTACATCATAACACACCAGCACTGACTTATGTTGATTTTTACCTTTCACTAATTCACTGTCATGCCCTTTAACTATGACTCAGTATACCCTGTAGTAATGCTTACACTGGCAATGACACATCAATGTTTTGGATGTGATACAAGTGTCTGCTGGATTCATGTAATAATACGTTGTAAGTACCGACTTCACTCAATGCAGTACTTTTACTAAATTTAGGGGTAACAACATTTGTTACGAAATAAACAAGTTAACAAACCTATTAGAATTATGATGATCAAGCAAGCCATAGGCTAAATGTTGAATTAATGTGTAAAGTTTCATTGGCCAGTAAATGCTGCACTATTTCATTGACACCTTGAAACTGATTCTTGACTAACATACTGGTACATTTTTATACATGCTTTTGGACATGTTATAATCCATAACCCTGGGTCACACTGCCACCAAGATGGCAGTTGGTAATAACAAAGATGTTTCAATGTATCCTGATCTTCAGGAGGCACACGAACGAGTCTTAAGTGTCCCTCTGTCACTGGGACGACCGGTTATAACGAGCCTTCGTTAATGTTATTACTAACTCTTGTGCTTCTATTGCTATTACAAGTCAAAATGTCAACATTATTATTTACGACACCACAGCATGAATACTTGTTTTGCTTTCAACAGACATTTTATAGTTGGGGTAAGATGGCAAATTAAGGAGGGAGAGGTTCAAATCCAGAGCATCGCCATGACAAGTTACGCGCCTCAGACTACTTGGTTACCAGGACCTCTGTGAGCATACTTAGTCTGACTTTCAGTGGGTTTACTTTCATGATACCGTAATCATGACACCCCAACACACAAGGGGTCTTCTGGCAGGACGGTGTAACGGGAAAAAAAAGAACAATTACATTAGTGTTGAGCAAGGCGCTCACGCAGGTGCCGCCTTTAATGCAACACTGACGATTAATGTGAACACACGGCAGGGCAATGCTAATCAGAGAAAATAAGCTTTTGTGTTCACATCAATTGGCAAAACAACAAACATGTGAATAAAGGCCAAAAACAAGCTGAGTTCACTTTGCTCCTGCAGCTAAACGTGAAACATCCGATTTATTGACTAAAACATAGCCGATATATTTCTTTATGGTTTTACTTTGTTCTTTGGGAAAATTCAGTGTCCAACTAAAACACTTCTCCTGACAACCCAGCAGCAATAATGTTCTCCTTGTTAATAATACCACAGCTCAGTTCATCTCAGACAACATTTGATCTACTAATCTAACAGTCACGCAGGGACTTTTAAAGGGTTATTTCACTTTAACTAGATAAAAGAGCACAGTGCTATTCCACTTATTGGTATCTAACTATTCAGAACATGTGGGGTGTTTTTGTTTGTTCTGTATCCTGGCTTTTGAAAAGCTCAACAACAAACAGAAACACATTAGTGTGAACTATTTTTATTAGAAAGGGAAAAAAAAAAGGAAAACTGATGACAGTGAGGTCTTTGACTTCGAGGAAACGGCATATTGTTGAAAACTAAGAATATTTTCAACCAAATTGTACTGAGTTGGCAACAGAAATGTGGGTGAACTGATTAATCGATTGATCTACAAAATTGGTTGTCAACTATTTTGACAGTGGATTGATCGTGACAAGTTATTCACTGGTTTCAGTTTCTCAACTGTGAGGTGATTTGATGCTGTTTGTTACCATATGTGATAGCAAACTAACTATCTTTGGGGTTTTGGACCTTTTGGTTGAATAAAACAAGCAATTTGAATATGTCACACCATTAGCTGTTTGAAATTATAATTTCTTTCATTTATACACTAAACTATAAATTGATAATCAAAATAATCGTTAGCTGCAGCCCTAGAACCGACCCCTCTAAGATGCCTCCTCTGGGAGAAACAACAAGCCTCTGGTGGTCAGACTCTGGCTCCATGCTGCAGCGGAAAAAAAATGAAATGTTTTGAATATCTGCGCATGAAGGCCAGGATTATGGCGGCTTTCTCTTGTAGAATTCCTATCGTTTAGGTGCGGCTGCCTGTCCATGGTTTGATGGAATGTTGCAGAATATTTGGGATGCCAGAATATTATTCGGTGGGGTGAGCATGCAAAGAGAGCCAATGTCAACAGAGCTCATGCCATTAACCCCATCTAACCCCCTCCAGCCCACACCTGCTACAGCCACTGTAGCTCGTCACTGAGCACATTGTTTGCCGACATCCAGCGTCAGCTGGTACGAGAGGAAAATTCCAAGGAAAGAGCACAGTCACTTCATTTGTTTGGACATCTTTGACCCTACCCTTTCGTCTTGGCACAGAGACGCTTGTTTATCATCCGTCCTAAAAAGAGGTGATGGGGGTCAAAGATCAGTTGTCAGTGAAGCATCATAGAGGAAGAGCGTAAAGTCCACTTCCACTGTGTTTCTGCTGAGGTAGCGTATCCACACAGGGCTATAAACGTGCTATTTAAAGCCTCAGTGAAGTGTGTCTTATTCATTCCAGTCTTATCTGAGACTATTAGTGTTCAATATCAAACAATCATCAGCTCTATGTCTACAGGTATTTGAAAATCAATGCAACTTCACCAAAATGTGAAGGTAATCATTTGTGTACCCCCTTAACTGGTATACATGTGTCCCATTGTATTCTACCACTGTGCCCACTGCTGTCTGTCTGGTTTTGTTCCTGAGAAGTGTATAGGTGCTGTTTTGGGTGTCCGCTAACAGGCTACGCTAATTAATATTTCATCATCTCACGGTCATGATCCAACCCCTGCTTAAAAATACAACAGGAACACGGTGACACATGTTGGGCATCGTGCTAGTGCAACACCCCCAAAAGCAGCCTCCTGGTCTTATGTAACTCCGTCTGGGTCTCTCCAGAGCTTTCTTCCCTATTCAATCACCTCCAAGTGCTCCCTCCTGCTACATTCTTCTGGCCCTGCACTATCGCCTCGGAGCCGGCACACGTGGATCCCATTTCAAGAGACTGACAGCACAAGACACACAGAGACCATCTTGCTTTGCCCCGACAACAAGGCCTCTTTTGTTTTTTTGGTTCACCGTTGCATATTTTTTTTTGAAGTAGTGAATACATCTGAATCACATAGACGAGCCCTACAGTCTGGTGATAGTTTTTGTGTTGCCATACCATCAAGTGCAGTCTAGGCTGTTTTCAGTCAGGCTGTCTATTGTGACACCGCAGCAAGATACAGATGCTGTCTTTCATTAGCATAGCCTGGGGGGCCGAAAACATCACGGGGTTCTGTTACTGATGTGGCTGTTTGAATACTGTCGGTCTGGAAGTGCTCGTCTGTTCTCTTATTGATTTTTGAGGATGCTATTCATAGTGCTGTTTTGCACCTGACCTTAAGAGAGCTGACGTCTAACTTTATGTACTAAAGAGGACACAGATGCCAATCTTTTACGTCAAATCAGCCATCAACTATGTTGTCATTATTGTGGTTCTCCAAGTTAATTGCTGCCACATAATTGCTGATGGTTATAGTTGCTGCTGTACTAAATTACTCTGTGATTAGATCCTAATAAACCTTAATGCATCTCCAGTGACACCTGCAGTCACTTTCATAAGTCAGAGCAAATTCCTCTCTTTTTGTGTGCCTATTAGACATCAGTATCATGTTCCAAGCAGTGCAGAAATAAAAAAAAAATATCAGACTGCTGGCAGTTGTAATAGTGATGGAGGGATAATGCCCATCTGTTCTCTATTACTATGCTAGATTACCATGTTACAATCTCCGTCTACAATCTGTGCCTAATCTAATTATCTACGGATGATATCATAGCCTGGGTGGAGTGAAGTGGGAGAGAAAACACACTGTGTCTTTGAGTTTTTTTATGTTTAGACTTTGATCAGATATCTAGCAGATCACATGAAGTGCGTGGATTACAGTGTTATCAGAAACACTGTAAATATTATAGGATCATACTGATATTTCTGCATGTTTTAGGCCATGAACTAAACTTCTATTGATCTCCTATAGTCGAGGTTGCTTTTCACTTATTTCATTTGAATCAACTTCATTTTTTGTCAAAGTTACGGCACGTTTGTGAGTCCGAGAACACCCAAACACCTGCGGGATAAAGAGGAGCTGCCATTTCTAACTTTGAGAACAGTGTGAACTCCAAAATGAAAACATGCCACACAACTCTAACCCAGCACACCGTGCTTTATTCACCAGACGTTTTGTAACTCCCTCGCTATCATCGGGAGTAAAACATGGTGTTCTGGAGAAGAGTTGTGTGACGTGTTTAAATTTTGATGAAAGAGCGGCTGAGAAACCTCATTACTGTAATTCAAGAAATTCTTTATCCATTATTTTTCCAACCAAGAATAAAAAAAAAAAACAATCCTTCACAGCTGCTCCTGTACCTCATTACATTAATGCAACTTATGTAACTTCTCATGTTCTTATCCTCCCAGCTATGACATGGTCCATTATGGCCACTCCAACCAGCTGCGACAGGCCAAGGCCATGGGAGATTACCTCATCGTTGGAGTACACACAGATAGTAAGGATCAGAGCCGCTGACTTATTGTCCCTATCACACCTACAGTACATCTTCAATGGAAGTCGTCTTGCATCATCCCCAATTCTGATACTCTTCCTTCCTTTACCATGTATACATCATGCTATGGCACCATTAGCCTCTCATAAGGCCGTGCCCTATACACTTTTGAGGGGTTGTTGTGACAGTAGTGCAACCACTTGAGCAATTTCTATATAGCACACTGGAGCATTGTGACATTATGATAACCCAGCATGACTTCATAGTCAGGGCAAGATACCAGCAATCTTTCCCTCTGCTGAAGGTATAATAAATATCTCAATGACGAAGGCGATGCTGCGTTCAGTCACTGTAAAAGCTGCTCAGAGTGTCGTGCAAGCAGAGATTTCTCTCTCTGTTAATCTATGAATCTCAGTTTATTTGTGCGTGTCGACGGTATCGCTTGAGTGTACATGTTTTGTTTTCAAGGTGAGATTGCGAAGCACAAGGGTCCACCAGTCTTCACTCAGGCAGAGAGATACAAGATGGTGCGGGCCATAAAATGGGTGGATGAGGTCGTGGAAGGAGCGCCTTACGTCACCACCCTCCAGACCCTCGACAAGTACAACTGTGACTTCTGTGTGCACGGAGGTACAGTTTATCACTAACTCATGTCCTTATTTAGACACACAGATCACACAGATTACGTTATACATTAATACTGTGCTAAATACTGTTATTAGTTGATATAACAGGGTTAAGTTGATTTCTGCAGGCAGCATGTCATGTATGCTGTTGTTTCAGATGATATAACACTCACAGTGGATGGGAAAGACACATATGAAGAGGTGAAGAAGTCAGGGCGGTACAGGTGAGTTTCCTTTTGAAATCAGCAGAAGATTATAATAACAGCCGAGATTATATGTTGTGTGTGTCTGAAGTTGCTGTATTATGTTGTCCCAGGGAGTGTAAGCGAACCCAGGGAGTTTCAACCACAGATCTGGTCGGCAGGATGCTACTGATGACCAAAGCACATCACAGCAACATTGTGAGTACAGCCTCATTGCCTCTATATACATTTCAGGACACAGCACACGCCTAATTCAATCCTCTCTTCTCTTTAGGATAGTTCAGACTATCAGCAGCACACGGACAACTTTGGAAAGGTAGGTGCCAAACATATTTAGGTCAAATCAAGTCCTCAGCTTTCTACCAAACTCTTAATTGATGGATGTTCAAAACTAAATTCTCGGCTCTTTGGCTTCCTCTTCCTTAACTGTTTTGTCATTCAAGTAGTTGAAGTCGCTATGTGGGCCAGATGTCAACCATTATTAAACAAAGGCCTTTACTGTGGACCCACTTTATAATCAAGTTGCAGGCCTTGCCAGTGAAACAGTGAATGCACCTTTTGTCCCTGGATGGGGAAAGTAACTCAGAGTCAACATGCTGGGGATTTAAATTTTTCACATTTGAACATGCAGACTAGCAGAATAGCGCTGTGAAGTTGGCGAGAGTTGAATAAATGTGCTGGGGATTTGTGGGACAGCCTCGATTTTGAGCAAAGGTGACATTGTTACTCACACCACCAGGTGGCGATGATGCAGCGTCCTGGTCTCACGCACAAACCAGTGGTGCTACTGAATCGAAACTGAAGTGCATCGGTCTTATTGCTCCACTGTTTGTACTTATTTTGCCTGTTTGATGGATTACGGGGGTCACATGGTCAGAAGGGCCACAGTCCCTGGACGGGGGTGTCTCAGTTCCTGCAGACTTCACAAAAGATCATCCAGTTTGCTTCAGGGCAGGAGCCTCAACCCGGGGACACTATCATCTATGTGGCTGGGGCCTTTGACCTCTTCCGTATCCTTTTAGAACCTCACTAAAAAGACTGCTGGATTTTATTTATTTATAAAATGGCAGAAAATTGGAAAAACACGATGAACTATTTATAATTCTGTGAACTGTTTCTATCAAATAGTCAGCTTTTCTGAAATGCCTAGTCAACCTTGACTAGTCTCCTGTCAGACATCGGCCATGTGGACTTCCTGGAAGCAGTGCATAAGCTCGCCGAAAACCCATACATTATAGTGGGGTTGCACTTTGATCAGGTGAGACACCTGTGTCAGACATTGTCTGCCTCCCTGAGTCGAGCGTTGGCATTGTACTTTAAATTTCCAATTTGTTCGTATCTTTTAGGAGGTGAACCGCTACAAAGGGAAAAACTATCCCATCATGAATGTCCACGAGAGAACACTCAGCGTCCTGGCTTGTCGAGTAGGTTCCTCTCCTACTTCCACCACCATCCACACAGTTCATAGCACACACATCTTATTCATCTGTAGTTCATTTTGTGTGTGATTGATTTCAGATTTATTTTCACAGTATGTGTCAGAAGTGGTGATTGGTGCACCCTTTGCAGTCACAAAAGATTTGCTGGAACATTTCAAGGTAAGTACAGGCAACACAATTGTCTCTCACAGCTAGATAATAACGTTCTCTGTAATTAAAAATGAATAAAGTAGAACGTCTTTTTTATCTACAGGTGGATCTTGTATGCCATGGAAAAACAGAAATATATCCTGACAAGGATGGCTCCGACCCTCATGCTGTAAGAGTCTATACCTCTATGCTATCTTTGTTAAACATACTGTTGTCCGCAGGAATGCTAAATCACATTTATTTGGCAATGTTTTCTTCATATCCAGGAGCCGAGGAGGAAAGGAATCCTGCGTACTGTTGACAGTGGGAACAGCCTTACTACGGATGCCATTGTGCAGAGGATAATTAAAAACAGGTTTAAAAAAGGGGGCCTGTCAGGCTTGGGAGGAAAAAAAATAGACAATTTCATATTACATCCACTGGGCAAAACAGTATTTATCTAAGTTAAAATAAATGAGACACATTTTGTTTGCTGCTGTAATAAATAGATAGCACATTAGATTGACTCTTTTCCCAATTTTTGTTGTTTTGATTCAGGTTGCTATTTGAAGCAAGGAACCAGAAGAAAGAAGCCAAAGAGATTGCTGTGATCCAGGCCATGAAGCGACAAGAGGAGGAGAAGACTAAAGAAAGATCCCAGGCTGTGCTGTAGGAAGGCCCCAAACAAGCACCGAGTGTCATAACACTGACAAGCTCAATTAATCTAAACTCATGTACAGTAAAAAGCAACCCTTTTATATGTGCTATGACACCCTCCACACAAGATCCTGGCTTATAAGAGCACTCCTTACAGCAGCCCGTTTGAAGCCAGGGCGGCATAGTCTGCTGTGGGATCATCAGGTATTACCGCGCGTGTTCCTGTGTGCGATTGTGTGTGTGTGCGTGTGTGTGGGGAACTTCTGTGTATTAATATATTTCGCCATATGCAAATACATGTTCATGTCAGTCAACAATCACACATGCAGACGATGGAGTTATAGACATGCAACAGTTGGAGCGAGGAAGATACCACGATGTCTTCAAATGTCTATTATATCTCTTTGGATATTTTTAATTCCTCAAGCACTCTTATTTATTTTTTGCCTTCAAAAATATAGAATTTTAAGTATACTATTATGGGATTTGGACATATGAAGGGCAAGTGTGGGTACCTGAGATGTTGGTCAGGCATTAAGCTGTAACCAGGAAGTGATTTGATTCGTCGCTTCCATGGTGTTGTTGCTGCTTTCTGTCCAGCATTGGGTGTAGCCCAACAACTGATCTATGTATAAACTGTATGTACTGTATCTATGTATTATAAAGTAATCACAGGATTTCTGGAGGACGCTAAAACCACTAGAGAATTAGGGGACAAAATCCCCCTGCTTCTCTGCATCTAACTTGGGTTGTTTGGATGGGAGAAGCTGTAGAAAACTCTTTTGGGACCTCATGTACCTTTATGCTCCAGAAATCGTCAGAACTGTCCTGTTTTACTGGTAGAGCAGGTTTTTAACTCAAAAATGCCCAGACCTGTACGCCTGGCCTTTTGAGTGCAATTGTATTTTTTTTTAACCAACACTCCTAATGGTTTTATCCTAATATAGAGATCACTACAGCGTTTTAACAGACTGCTTTTAAGCTTTCGTTTTCTTCGTATAACTATGACAGATGCTCAGTGTGGTTGACTTGATCATGAAATAGACCTCTTACTGTCATTGAGCCCTGAACAATTTAACCTCTGTCTCTATATCAAATGGGATTAAATAATATATTTTTTGTAGATGAATATTTTACTCACCTCCTCTCCATTAACTACTGTATAGATGGTTTCATATTGTATAAAACTGCATAATAATATATCTGTATGTCAAGTTGGAATGTATTAATTGTAAGCTATAATGTATATGTTATTGACAACTCCCAGTTGTTAAATACTGTAGAAAACTGCTACGACTACAGTATATTGCTGTTAATAATAACATTTTAATCTGAAAGACTTTGTCATCTTCTTTTGCAATATACTTATTTCTTAAGTAATTTATCTAAATGAGCTCACATGATCAAAGGTTAAGGCCATGTTTTGGACAAGAAATTACCTTTGATCCGAAAACAAAATGATCTGAATTTTGCAACCTATGAATGAGTCACACAGAGAGTTCGTTAAATGTCAGAGCATTTAGAGCAGATTATTTAGCAGCAGATTAGTACCCAGCAAAGATCTGTAAACTTTTTCAAAAAAGTGCATAATGCATGCACTCAGTGCAGTTGATAAAACAAAAAATGACAAGTTCACAAATTTTTTGTCACAATTATTATAATTTTTGGAATATTTGAGTAAATGTATTTATTTTTCCACTGAAACCAGCTATAAGCATGGCTGGTACTCCTTTCAAAATGTCCATCATGGGAAAAAAAACACGTAATTATTGATCTCAATGAGTCAACTACATGTGCTGAGTCAATTTTCTAATATTTTAAAATGTCACCATAATTGTAAAGTGAAACTTTGCTCTTATTTTGAAGGAACTGCGTTCTTCCGGTTCCTGTTTGAGAGCCGCTCCTCGTTTAGAATGCTGTGCACACGTGCCCCCAATTTAGCTAATTGGCTTCTCCGTGTCTTGCCAACTCTGTCTGTTAAGAGTTCAGGCTGTGAATCAAACGACACCGGCGTGCAGAGCGAAAAGCAGAGTGATGTTTTGCTGTGTCAATACACTGCCTATCCCGCTGCAGGTAGAGCATTCATTAAATTCTTCACCTAATTAAACAATTAGAATGTTTCTCGTGACACCCAAAGTCACTCTCATTAGAACTTCTCACTCCACTCAGTCGTCCTTCAGTCTAAATTGGTTGATGGAGTAGGTTTTGTGATTGTTTTTCAAGTGATTTTGCGGTTGGAAATTTTGCAGAATTAAAGTAACTTATCATTATGTGAGAAACATATACAATTAACTCAGCGTCTAACAACAAAACGACATCAAATTACTGTTTTAATTTTTGCTTACTAACGTTAAGAGGACTGTCATCTGCTAGTTAATTTCTAGTAAGTTCTGTATTCTAAAACATGATAAAACTCGTACTGAATTGTTTATGGAATGTTGTTATTAGCCATTTATGGGGGTTTTTTTGCAGTCAGTTCTTTGCTCTTAAAGCATCCACTGTGAATACTTTCTCAGATCTGCAGGGGAATGTGCCTCCACCAGGCTGTCACGGAAGAGAGTAAACGGGCAAAACTCCGGAGCTCTAAAATAGAGCAAGACCTTTGGGAACATGCCAGGACCGAGATGAACGTGGTGAAAATCCTCTTGCTTGGTAAATCAAAAGGATTTACGTATAATGTATCAGGTTTCACTGAAGTATTATTATGAAGTGAAAGCATTTCTC